CCCGGTCCAAAACATTTTTTTTTTCTTTCAAAAATATTTTTTTTTAAAAGATAATTGATTGTTTATCCGGTCCTGGGCTGGGCCACGTCGGGTCTGAATAGTGACGGATCTAGGAATTTTACCCAGAGGAGCATATTTTAAATGTTAAATAACAACCTTGTAGTTTAAGTCAAAATACTCATTTTATATAAAAATACATTTTCTTATAAATGTAATTATCGATATGTGTACCATTATGTTTTTAAAAACTTACAATCTGTATCATCATCAAAATTTTTCAAAAATAAAATAAAAAAGGTATGAAATTTGAAATATTTATAATTTAAGTACAACATCTATAATTTATCGAAAAATAAGTTTTTTTCGTTGAAATGATTTAAATTGAGCTTCTGCAGCACATTGTATAATATTCTTTTTTATGAGAGCTCATCAAAGGACAATTTTTTTAAGAAAAAAATAAATAAATTTAAAAATACGTAATTGCACATAAAAATAAACTAAAGAAAACAAAATTAAAAAATCCAACAATCCAACTAAATACTCAGTTTTATAAATTACTAAATCGATTACAATTAAGAGACCAAAAGAGTAAATCACATAAATATTTTCAAAAACTTATCTAGAAATGTAAAATATAAGGATTGTTTGTATATTTTTCAATATATAAATAATATTATTAATTTAAATTAAAATAGCATAGAAAATAAGTTTTACTATTTATATGTTTTAAATGTTTTTTTTGCATTTTTATCCATATCCAGACCTCATGTAGATCCATCATTGGCCTGAAACTGAAGTTGGAACAGTAAAAAATGGACCATTGGATTGTTTAACTGTTGATATCCAATGTTCCAGATTTTATTTTTTTTCTTTTTTTATGGTTCCGGGCCAGGCTTGCTCTGACTCGGAATTGGAACCGTCTGATTCAACGGTCAGATTTTTAAACTCGACTGTTGAGATTCAACGGTCGAAATGGGGATGAACCGTTTGAATCGCTGGTTTGGCCTTGAACCGGTGCTTCACCAAAAAAAAAAATCTGATTTTTTTTAATAAACATCCTCACACTTCATTTTTACACCAATTTCATTATTCTTGTTATAATACCCTCAATAATCTCTCATTTCTCTCATCCGTTTTATAATTGTTACTTTTTTTATAAATTTTATTTAAGTTATAAAAATGTTGAGTTCTTGTAGAGGTCAACCACCAAACCGAAAAATTGTAGCATTTACAAATGGTCATCCAATGTCAAAACTGGTGGTATACCCAGACGTTCTGGGTCTACCCGATGACGTAACTACCAAAAGGTCTAACACATCTTTAAAAATATTGAAGGCATCCGTGAGGGCTTCAATTTCGATGACCTAGAGCTAGGTGACGATCTTACTGAAGGTCAACAGACGGTAGCGGGACCCAAGGCTGGGGGTCGACATGTGACATCTGATATATTCACAAGGCATTTCACGAATGTGCCCAATACGATAAAAGGTGATAAGCATTTTATATGTAAACCATACACGTCATCTGCTAAATTTGTTTATGCTTCTTCACTTCCTTTCGATTTTGGTGATTCTAACCTCTATGCAAATTTTGCTCAAATGGCTTTAAAACAGTTGCTTCTCGAGTTCCACGTACTACTCTCACCCGTGATGTTCAAAATATAGTGGGTGAGAGAAAAATAACTTTAGTGCAAACATTTAAAAGTTTATATCAAAGAATTTTTATTTATTGTGATATTTGGTCCGATCATTGATAATATAATCATTATATGGGAATTACTTGTCATTAGGTAGATGATAATTTATTGTTACGAACACGTTTATTTGCTTATGCTGAATTTAAATACTCTCACACTAATGCTAATATTGCTCGTTAAATTGCATATGCTTTGAATACTTATAAAATTGGTCAAAAACGTTTTTTCCAGTTTTTATAATGCTAGTGGTGAAAAAACTTCTTTGAGGAGCTTAGCTTCAACTACTTGTGAAGTCATGTGGCTCCAAGCTCTCTTAAAAGAACTTCATTTCTATCACAAGTATCCTTCTACCATATGGGTTGATAACAGAGGAGCAATTGCCTTGGCCTTCAATCCAATTTATTCAAGGACAAAACATGTTGAGATTGATATGCATTTTATTATAGAGCAAGTTATCAGGAAGATAATCTCAGTCATCACTTTATCAAGCTGCAGATATCTTTACCAAACCTTGGGGTGGGCAATTCTTCAACCGACTTCGTTCACAGCTCAACATCATTTCTCAGTCGATATTCGAATTGAGGGAGGTTAATAGTCTTGATGACTGTCCATGTATGCCTGACCATCCTAATAAGCCTGCACGTCCAAAAGATTCAATGCCTCGTCAACATAATTCCCTTAGCTCACCTGATCACAACAGTGGTTTGCATGAGCACATGCAAGAGGACAAACAAGAACAATGGCTGTGTGGAGGCGTGGATGTACTATTATCCCCTTATGAGTCGTCGGTGGCTTTTCCGGCGGCTCTCCACCTCCTTTTGGAATCCAGATTTGAATCGAGAATTGTCTTCATGAGATCCGTCGCGGCGCAAGTGACCACAGTTTTCGGTTTTGAGGTTCTTGTTTGTCGCTTTGTTGAATCTCTGAGCTGTTGGGAGTGGCTTGTGTGCTGACTCAGGTGGCCGTGCATTATGTTTGCTAAGTGTAGGAGATGTTTTATTTTATTTCTACATTAGATGTGTGTTTTTTTCTTTGTTTTTTAGGTTTGTTAGTCTAGTTTTGTCTGACTCTACTCTTCTTTATGAAGTATTTAAGTCTCCTTTATGGAGTTTATGTTTTGTAGTATCGGTTGTTTCATTGATGGAGTTGTAACCCTTGGATTCATATGGAATTTCAAGGGGGTAGGTTCAAGTTTTCTGGTTCCTTAGTGTCAGTTGACACTCCTTTAGTACT